ATCTTAGAAGAAAAAAAAATTACCATCACACGGCAATTTTATATCAAATTATAGGAATTTTGTAGAAATCTAGTTTTAGCCATTAAATTCGTTCCCCTGAAATTGGTTTAAAATGCCGAAAAACCCCTCGGACTAGTTTGCGTTGGCCATTAGGACCACGACCCAATGTAAATGATTACGTCGAATTCCACCACCCTGGCTGGGCGCAGTTATCTGGGGAGAAATCAAACTGCTGCTGCCACATTTCGTTGCATTTAATTATGCGAAAGCCTTCGATAGCCAGCTACCAGTTGACACTGAAGTCCGGATTTCCCACGTTAAGGCACACACAACCGCCTACCAAAGTCGTTAGCAAAAGTTGGGCGGAAAAGTCGAGCCCCCTTCTCTCGGGTCGACTTACAATGCTTCCGCGTTTTCCTATTTTTTTTTTGTCACCGGAAAGGTAAATCACGAGCTGACCACGCAACAAGCGGAATTATTCCCTTTTCCCCGTTTTCCATTCCTGCGTTTTGAGGGTGAAAATGGGAGTTTTGGAAAACGCGCAAGTTTTCCGCGCGCATTAACAACCCCTGGCCATCGGGATTGGATTTCGGGTGGCAAAGTAAAGTAACCACCGCGAGACGTCGCGAACGTTTAATTGCATTCGATATGCGCTTTTGGGAATTTTCCCACGATTTTCGTGTAAGATTTTTCCGAAAGGTAACTAGCTCAGGTCAGTTCGGCGCAGCTTCGGTCCAGATGCTTGGATCGAAAGCTGCTGCGAGTGAAAATGCTTCTACACTTAGAAAAAAAAGGAGTACGGCAATGTAATAAAGCAATTCTTTACAAAATGTATTAGCTTTATTTACAGGCAAATTTTTTTAATAAATTATTTTGATCCATTAATTACAAGCTGTGTAATTTTTTATGTCTATAAAAAAATACAAAATAAAAACATAATATATACTTAACTTACTTAACTTACTTTGGACTGATACCTTTTTAATAAATTGTTCCATTTCCTAATATAGCCTGTTCTAACTTTGTTTTTAATTAAATAATTTTACGGTTCAACACAAATCTATTTAAATGTGACTTATTTATTCTTTAAATTTGTTTTAAATATTTTGGGAATAATTAAGTAACCATTCGCCATTAAATACAAATTTTGGACTCGTTTCTTATACAAAAATTAATTTATTTGTTATATTTTCTTATACCATGTTCATTCCCTACTACATCATATTCAAGTTTCATTTAATCATCAAAACTTCGATTTTTCTCCCAGTGTCAGTGGTGGTGGCTGCCGTTGATCTTCACCATCACCGTCATCATCATCATCACTTATCGCTATGCACACTGATATCATCCTGATAATCAACATTTATGGCCGCTGATTGTTTTCGCGACTGACCGCGACGCCTTCGAATAAAGGGTTGCTACTGCTATTGCCGTACTGCCATATTGCTACTACTGGAATTTAAGGATAGATGGATCGCAGATGGACCCTCGCCGCGTATTCTGAGATTTGTGTGACTCATAACGAGTTTCCTCTCGCCTCGCTTGGACCTTAAGTGGATATTGCATTGTTGAGGGACTCGCGATCTTTTGTCTCGCCCAGCTGCCGCTTTGTTTGGTCTTGGACAGTCCTGCAGTCCAGTACCCTGCTCTATTAATCCTGTTTCCAGTGGCACTTCTTCTTCGGTTACGGCAGCTTATCAAACAGCCCAAGTGGAGTAGAGGATACCTTATGTAAATTTCATATAAGAGTTACTTTTTTTTATCCTCGGCCTAATCCAGTTCAAATCGATGCGCGAGTGTCTTATTAAAACTGCCGGGGATGGTTATGATCTTGGACAAACGGAGTTCCCCTTCTCCACGTCTGAATGATTATATTTCAATATGCAGGAAGCTGTTTTGGTTGGGCCTTTATTTACACAGTTTGTTGAGCGAAGAAATATAAATCTATTGAAACTGAATTAATATTATTACGAAATTTATTGCGATTATGAATCCGGTTTAAGGATTCTCTGTTTGCTGTTTACCTACTTTTGTAAAGGTTGCTGCTGAATAACATGTTCCGTGAATGAATGCCTTCGCCACACACGCCCCAACAAAAAGTGCACTGACAATTTAGCGGTTTGTTTATTAATTTCACTTCAAGACAATTCATTCACCCATTGTCTGGTTCTGGCGCATGCCACGAAACTCTGCCCGAAGTCCCAAAACAATGAACCGAAAATTTCCGGCAGAACAATACAATATCGTATACGAAAACGATAATGCATGCATGAAACACATACAAAAAGTATCTTTTTAAACAGAGATCTCAAAGTCAACAAAAATGATCTTTTAGGTATTGTAGATAATTTGAGCCCACTCTTAAATGGTTGGATTGTTTTTATATTTTTAATAAATTAAAAGTAAAAGCCTCAAAAGAAGAAGGCTAAATAGTGTTAGCATTGGATTGTGACGGTACTTTGATAGGCGACGAACAGGATACGTTCATGCAGGATCATGTAGGAGAAGAACTGCAGGACACTGAGGAACAGATACTCGTTCTTGGGCACCTCGAACTGGCGATCGTGAATAATGGTGGCGGTATACATCACCGTGCAAATGGCCACCAGGGCGAATGTGGTTCGAACCGCATGGTATAGCTCTTTGTAGCCGACGAAGTAGACATTGATGAAGAACAAAATGATCATAATATTGGCAATGGCCACCAAAATGCTGAGCACCAGGTCGCCGGGCACAATGAACATGGGAAAGTAGGCGCCCCAGAAAATGGCGGCCAACATGAGGCAAACCACCACGATGACGGCGTAGACATTGACCAGTACATTGGCGCTATGCTTCTGCTCCATGGCTATGTAAATGGTGGAGCTCTCCACGATGGCCCCAATAATGATATAGTTATACGGCACCTTGCGTCCGATTCTGGTCCAAGCCAAGGTGGCCACCGCGAAGAAGGTGCACAGGAGCCACCAGATGTAGCGCACCTCGGATCCCTGGTGAATGGAAAAATCGCACAGGGCAATAATGACCCACTGAGTCAGGGCGACGGCAGCCAGGGCGGCACTCAGTCCGTAGATCCGAGCTGCATGGCTGATATTCGGATCCGGCGGAACGCCGTACACATCCGGTTCGTTGGCTCCAAAACCGGATCTACGGAAACGTGGCATTATGACAAAGTCTTCCACAATTTTGAAAAATTTTCAAAAAAAGCACAACACGAAATACCTACTTAGTTTTTACACGAACATTTAATTTTAAAATAAGAGAACAAATGTTCTTTACTTGAATGACAATTTTTGGCAAAAACATACTCAACTCTTGTCAATAATTCCAGAATCTTACATCGTTCCACACCCATAAATTGTCATAGAAGCTAAACTAAATTTACATGAACTTTAAACTATTGCGTATAAAAAATTTCCTATTGAGAGGAGTATTTAGTATTTAATTGATACCACGAAAGTATCAATATAAAACTAACAAATGCCTAAGACTACAGTTTAAAACTTTTCGGTATAAAAATTACACTAAAAAGTATAGGTTTAGTAGTATTGAATTGATGCTAATATTTAATACCTTATTTTCAATCTTTAATCGTTTATTCACATTTATGGCTGCCTTAAGACCATTTAAAGTAGCAAGTTCTTTAGTGATTCTTATTCATTAACGTAATGGTAGTACAGGGCGAAGACCAGCATGCAGCCGAGCAGGAAGACGAAGTGCAGGTAGATGCCGTTGGCGGAGCTCGCTGTCTCCCCGTAGGGCACTTGTCGGAGTCTTCCGCAAATGTAGCGGGCCTGGAAGGGAGCCATGAAAATGATCAGCACAACGAAGACACAGGCGAAGGCCAGCATGTAGCGCAGGTCGTGGATGACCAGGAACAGGATCATGAGCACGACCATCGTGATGGAGGCTAAGAGGAAGACGCAGCAAGTGCAGAGCAGGTTGGGCAGCAGTATCTCCGGACTTTTGGCCCCGTACAAATGCAGCAGGGCCAGCAGAGCACCTGCCGCCACCAGGGACAATAGCAGAACCCACGCGTTCGCCAGATGCATGAAGTACGCCCCGTACAGGGTGATGAAGAACACCGATGCCAGGACCATTCCCCAGCACAACAAGGTGATGGCCGGCGTCTGTCGAATACAGCTGAGTATCGTGAGGATGATGAAGGACAGGATCAGCCACACGAACGGTGGAACGGGAATGTCCTCGTACACATTCACGTGGAGGGCCGACAGGATCATCCATGGAGTGGCAGAAAGGACACACAGTAAGGCGGAGGACAAGTACACCCGGAAGATGAAGGCCCGCAGGTCCCGTTCGTTGATAACAATGATCTCCGGCTCATCTGCCGGTTGGCCATCGCCTCTTCCACCCTGCAGGCCATACGGCGCCCAGCGCGCATTCGGATTATTCATGTGTCGATGGGGGATTCGTATCAATTTACTGGGATTTCGACAAAAGAAGATTGGCTCCTATATGGTGTTGATTAAAAAATGTAAAGCAAATTTGCTGAAAATATGCTTCAAATCTAAAAAATGAATCATGCTTAAAAATATAATAATATATATATTATATATTATATCTTTATAAAAATTATATTTTTTATACTTTCCTTCTTTTTCCAAATAATATGGGTAAATATGTCATATCATATAGACACCCAAAAAATAAACTGTAAGTTCAATTTAAGTAAACTGCAGACAGTATTAAAGTATAAGTATTAATTTTCTACTAAATAATATAACCACTATACTTTTTAGTTTCATTTCTACACCGTAAAGTCTAAGGTATTTTTTAAGTCATATAAGTTTTTTTTTGATATTTTCGTAATATTTATTTAATTGCCATCTTATTGAGAAATGTTTCATACCCAATAGTTTATAAATGCATGTAGCAATGAAGTCGACCAAAAGCCAAAATTGTTTATTTTAATACATAAATATCATATCATATGCATATTTGATAAAATTCATTGTACCATTTTAATTTTTTTAATTTTTTTGATATTTTTATTAAATCAAATAAGTGCAGTTTGCATTCTATGTAGCGTTAATAGTCTAGTTGACCAGGGAAGGGCTTCAAAGTGCTTCCATACCCAGACGGAATGTCAAGATCGCCTCGTCATTTTCGATCCTGGCCTTTAGAGTCCTTGAGATCTGCCGCGCGATAAGCATCGGATTGATTAAGGCAGTCCGCCGAAGAAGCTAGAGTTCCTCAATCATAGAGTTAGAGTTGCCTATCGGTTTCGGTCACCGTTGTGGGCTCGGTGGAGGCCTTCCGCTCAGTCACCAGCACGAAGTAGCAGACGCAACAGAAGAACATCATGGTGTGCAGATACAAGGTCAGAGTGCAGATAATGAGGTGCTCCCGCGGCATCACCTCCACGATGTCCAAGCGGCCGTGATTGAACTGTGCCTGAATGGGAATGCCTATGACCACCATGATGAACAGGATGGAGACGAAGGCGTCGAGCAGCTCCACGTTCCCCGTGAAGAGCTGGGCAATGCCCACGGCGATCAGTACCAATAGGAGGGCCAGCATCAGCAGCGTGGAGAAAACGCCGCCGGGCAGGAACTCCAGCGGACACTTGGCCCCCGAAAAGTTGAGCACCAGGATGATGAGGGCCACGCCGAACATCACCAGGCTTATGGTCAGCGTGCTCAACTTATCAATGATACTACAGCCAAGGACAGTGGTGCACAGCACCACCAGACTCACCATTATCCACTTCCAGGGCGAACTGTAGGCTATCTTGGGGATGCAGTGCATCGCAACCATCGTCAGGAAGATGGTGATGGCCAGCACGTAGACGGGAAAGGGCAGGTACCTGTGCAGATGCACATTGGTCACAAGGAGGAGCAGCCAGGCGCCCACCGTCGCGAAGATGATGATCAGGCCCTGGCTGTAGATGCTGCGGATGAACTGGGTCATCGGATCCAACTCCATGACCGTTGCCCGGGTGCCTTGTTGGTGGTAGATGTTGTCCATCCCGTCGAGATCCTGGTGATTCGGGTGTCGAGAGTTGGTCGGGCTGGCGCCCTGACAATTGCCTCTCGGCAATTTTTGGTATAATTTTTAATAATACATTTATTTTTAAATTGATAATACCCTTTGTACAAAATTACGGGTTTTTAAGAAAGAAATCTTGATCTTATTACTTGACATTTATTAACTATAAAATTTGATAACATTTTAGACTTCCAGTCTTTCCAATTTTGATTAAACATATATTTGTATCATATAAAAAAATCAGCTTTTTAACGCGACACTAGCACAATTTCTTGATTTGTTCGTACCTATTACTTATCTATGAATTTAATGTATATAAGGCGGATTAAATATGGTCTTGGACCTTTTTTTTAATTTTACTAATGCTCTGTCAGGTATTTTTAATATAAAATACAAAAACCTATTACTTTAAAGTGAAACTTGAAATGATGCTTACATTATTGTTATGAACTATGTTATTTTATAAAAAGCGCATTAAATCTGGTCATTGCTTTTAAAACTACTATAAAAAATACAAATATTTTATTTGCTAAAAAAATCATTTTGTTTTTGAAAAATAATATATTAAAAAAAGTAAGCTTTGTAAAATAATATTGTAAAAAAAAACAAGATTTATTTAGATATTGACTGGATCTAGTGCAAGCTCTTAATAAAAACCAGCTGGAAGGACCAAGCCTCCTTACTTCAACTCCAGCCTCTTTTGATGGTGATCCTTTAAAAGTGCATTAAGCTCTAATCTCCATGCCAAAGGGGTGTCCAGATGAGGCCGTAGAAGGCGGCGAGGAACAACAGAAAGTGCAGATAGACGTGGACGGCGCAGATCACAAATTCGTGGACGGGCAGCTCAAATCTCCTGCCATGGACCACTTGACTATGGTACAGGCAGGTGGGCACCAGCATGATGGCCATTATGAAGAAGTAAACCGTTCCATAGATCCAATTGTCCGTGAAAATGAACATGGCCATCACGAAGACAGAAGCCACCACAAAGACGACGAGCAGGAGGAGCATGGTGACCTCGCCTGGAAGCACGGTCTTGGGCAGCCAGGCTCCAAAGAAATAACAGAAGACAATCGTGGTGGCGGCTACTAATAGGGCGATGCCCACGTTTTGTAGACTCCCATCCAGCAGAACCAGAATGACACCCAAGCCTGCCAGCTCCGCAAATAACACGGCCAGGATGAAGCTGAACCAGTAGAATTTCCTCAGTTTGGCTCCGAGGCAAAGGAAAAAAAGAAACAACAGCGACACCATGGCGCAAATGAAGCCGGCCATCATGAGATCTTCATTTGGAGGTATGCTCTTGGTCAGGATCAAGGCCTGTATTGCGGTGGAAAAGGAGAAAAGGCCGGCCAACATGTAGCAGCGCCGCATGAAAATCACTTCCGTTGAGGGGCCATTAGTGGGTGCCTGGGCACTGGGACCCTCGCCATCTGGAACAGCCGCTGGTGACCTCAAACGGCGAGGTCTTAAACTGAGCTGGTGACCCGGTGGCAACTCAAACTGTACCACCTGTCGCGGTATCTGCTCCTGCTGCTGATGCGATGGAAAGTTAAGCAGCTGAAGGAAAGGCGGCATGAGCATCCAGTAATTTCTCAAACTGCCACCGGACATTGAAGGGGCAGCCACTGCAAAATTTTGACAAAATATACAGGGCCCATCACGATTTGGCTACAAATCACTTTAACTTCTAGCAGTGGTGGAAAACCAATCCTTAAAACAAATCATAAATAGAAGAAAAAAACAAATAATACACATAGCTTGCTTACTTTTTTTAAATTTCTTATAACCCAAAGATTTAAAATATATATTTTATGAATTTTTTTATTGTTCAAGGGCTGAAATAAGATGAAAAAGGCTTAGAGTTAATTCCATACATTATTTGTTCTGTTTTTAACTTATAGCAAATTTTTAAAAGAGATAAAAAAATCTAAAAGATAATTCAAATTTTTTTAAGAAAACGGTTTAAAAATTTTGTTGTATTTTTATTGAAAGGAACACAATCAAAATGTGCATAATAACATAAATATAAAATGTACAACTCTCCTTTCCAGAAGTTTCTAACAAAATCTAAACTTGACCAGGGATTTAATTTAAAAAATCAGATTTTTGAAACAAACTAGCAAATCCGCAAGATAAAGATTCACGATCGAGATAATTAAGATATCTTACCAACTGCGATAGCAAGCACAAATATTTTACATTCTTCGAAACTTAGCCGTATTATGCTTTCCGATCAGGGCGGAAAACCCAGCGAGGCATGCGAAAATCCACGGGGACTACAAAGACGGCGCGGAAAATGCTAAGTAGCTGCGATCAAAGCTAACAAAACAGCCACAAAGGATGCTGTCTGCTAACTCTTTTTCCCCCTGCCTGCATTGTTTGTTGTTATTTTGCTGATCGCTTGAGTGACACGCAAAGGATACAAGCGAGCAGTAGAAAGGAGTCCCCGAGATGTGTTTACTGCCGCATCTGCGGCCTCGATCACGATCACTTTCACAGACGGTTGATGGCTGATGCTTGATGGTTAATGCTTCATGGTTGACGGTTGGCCGGCATTGTTAAGGAATGACTCAATCTCAATCAGCTGGCTACGCTTATCCTTGATTCCCGCTAAAGACATGCAAATGCCAAAGGAGGAGACTGTCAGATATCTGGCAGCTGCACTCACTGCAATAGATACTGTTTCGGTTCGAGGAGTAACCCTTGAGTTGCCAATCAAATCGTTAACTTTTTCTGGACGACATGATTGGATTATTGATTTGGTAAAAAGGGAATAGCATTCAGATTTTTAGTAATTGGTCTGATGAGAAATTCATGTTTTAAAAAATAATACTAGGAACTAAAAAATAATATTATTATTTATTTTATTTTTGACAGAGCTGTGCCTTAACATAAATATAATATAATCATTAATTAAGGAAAAATTTTGAATATGTTGTACACCTTCTAAACCCAATTTATCCCAAATTATTCTATGATATAATTCATACATACTTCGACTTGTACCAATATTTAATAAGTTTTTTGGATGAAATTTGATTTGAAAAATAAAAAATTACAATACACAATGCTTTAAGTATTTCTAAATATTTGTAGTTTCAAAAGCGCAAAGTATTTTGAAAAGCTTGCATGCTTTGTTTATTGATTTTTCTTTTGCAGATTCCGGCCTTGGGCTATATATATATATCTAAACTATTCTTGTTTTACACTGACCCCTTCAGAGCAGGTCATTGTACCCGTAGTATAAGTTTTTCGGTTTTTATTTATTTTTCATGCCGTAGACTATACCACTGACAACGAGGAGAAGGGCCGCCAAGAGGTCGAAGGGAAAGTGAAAGCGTCGGCAAGTGCTTGACAACGACATGCGAGCGTATGCAGTGGACCAGGCCGGGTCTAAACCCCCTCACCCCCTTTTTCTCCCCAAACGGACACCCTGGGCAAACTAACGGCATTTCCCCCACAAACTTTTCCCAGCCCAACTAACTCCATTTGGGATTTTGCATGCGAACACGAATTTCGTTCGGGAGCCGCAAAAAGCACAAGCCAAAAAGCTTACAGAACCGTAACGAACGAGAACCGTCCGGAGATTTTGGCGGCAAGGGACAAGGGACGTGGGACGTACCGTCATCCGTGGGTCAGTGGAGAAGACAGGTTGTCTCATTCTACGTGCTCGGGGCACGATTTATAATATTCTATTAGTTCCACGACCCGAGCCCAAGCCAAAGCCCAAGCCCGAGCCCGAGTTTTGGGCCCAGCCCGGACTGACTGACTCTGACTGACTGTTGTGTGTGGCAGCGCAGTTAGCGCAGATAATACATCCGTTTCCGGTTAAGCCCATATTTTTGTGTCATTTAGTCGGTGGGGCAGGCAGGGCAGGCGGGGAGGCAGAGGGGCGGGGCAGTGCGGCAAGTGGCGAGACAGCGTATGTGGGAGTGGAACAGACAGCTACAGATGCTGACAACACTCAACGAATATTCTCTGTATACAAAAAATAATATTTGCTTTAAAGAAGGCTCTATGCAATCATAGCGATGTTATCGATGTTCGCAACAATCTATAAAAACAATATATTACGATTTTCAAAGATCTGGAGTGAACTTTATTTGCATCCGCTTGCGTCATATACCCTGCGTCTTTTTTTTAATAAATAAACATCCAAACCTTACCAATATGTTACATATACATAAGTAATTTAAAAAAAATAAATTTTAAGAATGTAAAAAAATTGAATATACGATTTTGAGTACTTTGTATGAGCCTAGAAATTCATAGTTAACAAACATATAATGAAGTTTAAAATATAAATTGCGCTATTTTTTAATGGGACAAATATTTTTCGCAGCGTAGGCGCAGAGCTCACAATGCCGCTGACATGCCAGCTAACGAGGGGTGGAATGGAGGATGGGGTGGCCAGTGGGTGGGGAATGGACAAGGGCAGGGGGATGAGGCAGTGGCAGTGGCAGGGGCAGGGGCATGTGCATGGACACGGACACGGACACGGGCTGAAACTGGAACTGAAACTGAAAATGAAAATGGGGCTGGGCGCATCAAGTGATGCGACAAGTGCAGCAGACGCTGGAGCGGAATCGTCAACGCTTCCGCATATTTCTCATTTCCACAATTAAACATTGTGAGTGGAGCGTTATGGCGAATGCTCCAAGGGTTGCATACGCTGAGGGGTTGCGGGGATAGAAGGGGTGCCGGCACTGAGGTCGGCTGGAGCCTGCTCCTTAGATAAATCAAAGGCAAAGCAATTAATAATGCATTTTTGGAGTGGGAGATTGGTAAATTTGCTGCATTTGCTCCACAACGGAAGCTCAAATGGAGCTTGCAGCTAGGAAAGTCGGGTAATTATGTTCCAGCAGCCCCTTCCTGGACTTTTCCCCTCCAAAGCGGAAGTTCTGCATGACTTTCCCCGGCTATCTTATCGGGGAAAGCAGCGCAGAGGCAGCTGTTACTGCATGGTTACAAGCTATTAATGAGTTATTGTATAACACCTTCTGATTCGACG